CAGAGCCAAGAGAACATGGCTTGATTCCTGCCCTGCAGCTATGGGTGAAGGCTTCTAGTAAGCCTGATGACTCAGGTTTCATGTAAAATTGTACATTTTTGGAAAGCCTGGACGGCCTGAATCTATGGCTGCGTTTCTTACCTGGAGCCTTTCTTACCTGGAGACGATCATCCCCCTGGGGCAGGAGACAGAGGCTGGTTGAGGCACTGGGCTCCAGATGGACAGATATCCCAATGCTGCCCCGGGCCTTCTAGGCTCAGACACTCTGGAGAGTTCAAACAGGCAGTCTTCATACACCTGCTTTATGGGGTATGGAGGACTATCTCATCGTTTTCCCATTGTAATGAAATCCCCAAGGCTCCACGCTTGCCAAAGCAAAGCTGACTAACTTGGTTCTTAGAGGTTCGGGGACAGGATGCCAGCAGCAGCTCAGATTCAGTGAGGGCCTCGTGGTGCCAAGATGACATCAGGATGGGACAGTGTGCAGGAGAGATCACATGGTTGGAGAGGAAGCCACAGAGCAACCATGGAAAGGCTCAGATTCGGTCTTTCAGGAACTAAGTGGGATGGATCTCCCTCCCCTGGGAAGGTCTCCTCAAATAACCAACTCATCTAGGCTCCCCTCCTAAAGGCTCAGAGCCTCAAAATCATCACATCCGAAACAGAACTCCCAGCAAGGCACAGGCAAATTGAGATCACCACCAACAGCTCAGGGACAAGTGCTACCCCACCAGCTCCCAGACTGTCTTCTGATCCCTGCTGTAGACATCTCGGAAGCAGGTGGGCAGGAAACTGGGGTGACAGGACACAGCCATGTCCTGTTCCTTACAAGGCCATGCCATCTGAATAATGGCATTAGGGCAGGGCTTTGCATTTGTACTAATATATATATATATATATATATATATTATTATATATATATGTACCTTTTGCTCAGCTGGGTGCTGGTGGTGCACGCATTTAATCCCAGCACTCGGGAGGCAGAGGCAGGTGGATCTCTGTGAGTTGGAGGCCAGCCTGGTCTACAGAGCGAGTTCCAGGACAACCTCCAAAGCCACAAACAAAACAAAAAATTACCTTTTGCTCAAACAAAAAACCCAAACAAGCAAACAAACACTTTGGGGGACCAGTAAGATAGATGCTTCAATAGATAAAAGATGCCAGTCATAAAACCTGATCCCCTAGACACCATGTGGTGGAGGGAGAGAACTCATTTCCACAAGTTGTTCTCTGACCTCCGATGCAGGTACACACACACACACACACACACACACACACACACACACACACACACACACACACACACACACACACGTAACAATAGGTTTTCTTTAAAAATAAGAGTGGCTTAGCTTTCAAATGAAAAAGAAAGAAAGGGAGGGAGGGAGGAAGAAAGAAAGAAAGAAAGAAAGAAAGAAAGGAAGGAAGAAAGGAAGGAAGGAAGAAAGAAAGAAAGAAAGAAAGAAAGGAAGAAAGAAAGAAAGGAAGAAAGAAAGAAAGGAAGAAAGAAAGAAAGAAAGACTTTGTTGTTGTTTTTGAGACCTGGTCTCATATAGTGCAAGCTGGGACTCACTATAAAGCCAAGGATGACGGTGACCTTCTGATGCCCCTGCTCCCGCGCCCTGGAGTGCTGGAGGTAGAAGCGTACACCTCCATGTTTGGTTCAGTGTGGTACCAGCTAGAACCCAGGGTCTCCTGCATGTTAGGCCAGCACTCCACCAACTGAGCTACATTCCTAGCCCAAGAAAACTTGAAAACCACAATTGTGATCCTGGTGAGGTGGCAGTTGGCACAGGCTAGACTGCATGAAGCATGAGTGTCCCCAAGAGTGAACCGACACGGATACTCTGTGGAGTCACAGAGCGTTCAGATATTCTACGCTGACGGAACTTCCAAAGGAAACCAAAGCTATGCGAAATATTTGCACACAGGGGTGTCCACTCGGCACTCATTCTTTACACAAACAAAGCAAGGGAAACCTTCAACTCTCCACATGTGGCAGCTAAGAACGGGCCCACAGAGGGCCTGACCACAGCTGCCACGGTCTGAGCTTTTCAGGACACTGGGGCTTTCAACATAAACAAAACCATGGAGGGGGGTATGGGCTTCCCTTTTCAGCCCTGCATCTCTTCCTGCACAGCCACTGAAAAGCAGCAGCGCTACAACAGAAGGGGGCGCGTGAGAGGAAGACTCAAGGTCTCTCATTACAATGGACCCTGGAGGACTCAGACCGGTTGGTTCCACCCCAGAATGGCATCCGAACCTGCCATCCTCAGCCCTAGCCACTAATGAAGTTATAAATGGAGCCAAGAGCTACCAACTGTAGGCTTCCCTGGCCCCCAGAGGCATGCTGTGTTCATCGGAAAGGATTCTCTGACTCCGGTAGACACATCCTCAGACTAGAGCTGGCCCAGGTGCGGGCGGTCCCTGGTAACAACCGTCCCCTGGCAGCTCCATCTGCCCGAGGCCAGCCAGCCACCCTCATGTCTCTCTAGGCTGGTTCTGTGAGTGAACGAGCTTATGCTAGCAGATGTGAAACATCTGTAGCACAGAGGCCACAGAAACCTCCACCGCCTTGCCCACACACCTGTTCCCCCACCAGAGCAGGAAGTACCAGAGAGGCTGTAAGTTACAAACCTAGGAATGAGTGGGAGACCTGCCTAACCCCATTAGCCACCCAATGTGTGCCCAGCTCAGAGCAGCCACAGGCAGATGTCCCATGGGGAGCTGCCGGGCAGTCATTTGTCCAGGGTCTACCATAACCCTGAGGGCAGAGAGAAGAGGAAGACCTACCCCACGCAGTTCTCAAGGAGTCTGAGGGGAAACAGCCTTCAAGGGCGACAGTGAGTGCCACTCAACACTAGCCACCCTGCCATCAAGGGCTCCGTCCCTACCCTGACAGCGGTAGACAGCATCAGGGTCCCTGGACAGATGGGGGTACAAGTCCTGCTTGAGACAGGGGGGAACTCAGGTGCAGCCAGGAGGTCAGTGTGTAAGTCTCCTGAGTTAGTTTGGGTGGCAGGGTGGGGGGTGAGGGGTGGGTGATAGGGGGTGAACTCTATACCTAGTGCCTAGAAAAGAAACAAATGAGGTGAGATAGAAGACAGTGACATAGAGGAACCCAGTGTCACTTACTGGGTGGCACAGTTAGAGGCTTCCAACCAAGGGCCCTAGAGGCCCCTCCCACACCCGATCCACTGTTGCTGAGTCAGCAACTTCTTGGCTGGGGGGGGGTTAGCGGTCCACACAGCGTTTTCATCCTTGGCCGTCCAGGCCTGTGCAGAGCATCTGGTGCCAGCCACCTCCCCCATGCCCCTCATTCACAGCTGTGAGGCCACCTGAGCCTCTGTGCTGGGACAACTCTAGCCAAGGGGCACAGGGGTCTTTCACCCCGGTGACCACGGATAGGACTGCAAGAAGAGTACCCTGGGTAACAATCTGTGGCCAGCGTCGTCCGTGATGGGTAGCAGCACGCACAGTTTGCCTGGACCTCCTATAAACAGGATGCCCCCAGTCTCAACACCCTCATCCTGCAGACAGAGAGGACCATCCTGAGCCTGGTGGGCCTGTCAGCGCCCAGCCCTGGGCACCCACAGCCTTGACTGGTTCACAAGTGGACAGCTGCTGTGGCCAGACCCAGCTCCATCTAGCACAGCATGGCAGAACCATGGGATGGGTCCTGTAGCTGGAACACATGCACGTACACGGCAGAGCTAGCTGGACAGAAAGCAGTTTCAAAGGTCTGGGAAAGGAGCCTCTGGGTCCAGGTTATGATCCTGGAACACCTGCTTTGAAACCGGGCACTGCTGGGGGTGGGGGCAGTGTGTATGGATAGGAAGTAAATCTACTGCCCAACTCTAATGTCCTAATATTCTGACAGTTCGGGAAATAAGACTTGGGACCGTAAGGCAAGCAGAACTATGGACCATAAACAGCTCCAGGCTGGCTGGCCCCTGCAAGGTCCCCAACCCCACCAGAAAGCCAGCACTTTCCTGCCCCAAAGAGCACCAAAGAAAATAGCAACATCAGTCAAGACTTGCCCACGCCCACTTCCTAGCTCATCTGTAAATTCAGTCCCACAGTGAATATTGAAGAGAAACAAAGCAGGCAAGAAGCCCTAATTCCTGGCCCCTCCAGGGGTGGGATGCGGTGGGGTGATGACCCCGGGAGGACCAGCGGACACCAACAGGAACAGGACTACAATCTCAACTTTACAAAGTGCTTCCTGCGGGGCTGCCCCAAACCCCCACTGGCCCCTACCCCATCCCTCAGACAAGGACAGGACTGAAGGGCCCCGCTGCAAGGTCCTCAGCTGCACAAGTCGCCCCAACTGCCTCAGCTATCCGCAACCTGGATGGTAGAGAGATGTCTAGGGAAGGCAGTCCTCAGCCAGAGGCTTTTGTTCCACTTTTGTGCGTGGGGTGGCCAGGTAGTGCCTCCTTCTCCCCGCCTTCAACCCGGGTCACACAGGCCTTTGTTCTACCTGCACACACCGGCAGCCAGAGCCCACCCCTTTCCTGGCAGCTCCTCCCCAGGCTGGCAGGCACCGGAGGGCCTGAAGACACCACAGGTGCAGGGGAAGCGGGACTTCATTCCTCCTGCTCCACTTTCGGTCCTAGACGCGTATGGACTACACACACACACACACATACACACACGAGCACACCTGTTTTTCTGCCTCTAGATCCAAGGCTGGACCTTTAGTCCCGGAGGTTTATCTTTTAGGTTAAGCCAGCAGTACGCCGCAGGTGGGGTGGACAGAGGGCAGCGGGCGGTGACCCAGGAGGAAGTCTGGGCACTGCGCAGCCCGGCCAATGATGAGGAAAGGCACAGAGGAGAGGGTGAAGAGAGGGATCAGAGGTCACGAGTGGCAGCTGCAGGGACAGATGAGCCTGCAGATCAGAAGGGGCCCCAGGAGAGCAGAGAGGGCAGATCTGGACCGGGGTTTAGGGTACCCCCCCCTCCCCGCGCCATCACACTCGCCCGCAGCGGGCGCTCACCTGGGCGAACGCAGACCTGCTGGGTCGCGGCGATCTAGCACACCGGGCACACAGTTGGTGAGTTCGGTCCAGTCAGCATGCAGCCCGCAGCTCCAGCCCGTGGAGAAGCGAGAGAAGAGCCACGTCTCGCGGCGGTTGGGCCGATAGCAGGTGCACTTCTTCTGGCCGGGCCGACAGTCGCAGGGCACCTCGAGGCGCACGTTCTGCACAAGGTGGCGGCCGAAGGTGGTGCCGCCGGTCTTCTGGATGTGCAGGAAGACGATCACATCGTCGCCCTTCATGTCGAAGCGCAGCGAGCGCTCCAGCTCGCGCACCGGGAAGTAGTACTTTTTCTCGTAATGTGGGTCCGGCGTGGGGAAGAGATCCAGGTCGTCGGGTGGCGCACGGCCACCGGGCGCGCCCAGGCTCAGCCCCGGGCCCGCGTACTGGTACAGGATGAGCATGAAGCACGCCGAGCCCGCCACCACCAGCACGAACTTGCTGGCGCGCTCAACCATGGTCCTGCCGCCGGCGCGCCGCCGCCGCATGTGTCACCATCGCCGGCGGCCCGGGCGCCGGGCCTGGGAGGGCGGGGGGCGCAGCTGCTCCGCCACCGCCGCCGCCGCCGCCCGCACTCCGGCCCGGCCCGGCTACTCGGCGCCCAGGCTGTGAGCAGCGTCGCGGGCCCTGGGCCTCCGCGGCGCCGTGGTTGCTCCCCGCCCCGGTCCCCGGCTTGGCTAGCGTACAGCCCGGCCCCCGCCACAGCGCCCCACAGCCGCTCGCGCCCGCACCCGCCCGCAAAGCTCAGCGCCGAGAACGCTCTGCACCGCCCCGTGCGCCGCCGCGTCTCCGCAGTCCGTCGCGGCCCCGCCCCGGCCCGCCCCCGGCCCGCCCTCGCGGCGCCTCTTGCTGTCGCCGCCCGCTCCGATCCTCCGCTCCGCCTTTGGAGCGCCCTGGGGGGGAGGGGCTGGAGGGGTGGGGAGTGAGGCCGGGGCACAGGGCAGCGCTGGGCGCGGGGTCGCGTGTCTCTCGCACTCTGTCTGCGCTGATGGCTACGGAAAGGGAATTGGTTCCAACTCGCAGGCCTGTAGGTGGCGACTGGGCTGTCCTGAGCTCATGAGTGGGTGGTTCTTTTGGGCCTTGGCCATGGCTTTGGGAGCCTTCTCAGGACAGTTTGCCTCACCTGCGCTCCCACGGACTACCGTGGGCTTTGACCTTCACACTGAACGATCTGAGGTTCCGAGTTGGAAAGCGCTAGGAGTTGGGACCACCACGCGGTTTGGGGCTACCAGCAAGGGTGGAGAGGGAAAAGAAAGGTTGAGGGCATGGATCCAGGTGGACTTCACCATTACACGGGTGGCATTGGGACAATGACCCGAAGCCCCAAGTGAAGATAAGCTTAATGTCTGTAAAGACCCGAAGACCAGCTTTATGCTGTCCCTTTCCCCCAGCATGCAATGTTTTGATCCTGGTCATACTCCAAAAAACAGTTAAAAAAATATTGAACCAATGTTAAAAGACATTTAAAATTCCAACTTTCTTTCTTTCTTTCTTTCTTTTTTTTTTGTAAGGCAGGACCTGCATCCTTGACTAGTGTTCTTTTACCCGCAGTGGAGTGTAGCGTGGGCACTCAACCCAATCCCAGGCTCTAGCTTGCAAGCTGGAGGCTCCAGTGAGCAGCTCCATGCAGCCTGTACAGTATTATACTCTCTGCTGGGCCCCTAGCTATACTTAGGCCACCGGAGCAGCTGGAGGTGGGATGTGAGACGGTCTGTCCAGAATTCCACACCCTAGGGCAGCTGGGATGGGCTCTAGCATTTGGATTCAGGCCAGCATGGCCTCTGGGAGGCACAATGGCTGCCAGGTTCAGGTACCCACAGCAAGTCCTGCGGGGTGACATCGGTTCTATCCTGCTAAGGGGCGATCAAGAGGAAGAGGGGGAGGGGATGGCACTCGGGGTCCAGAGCATTTATGGCATGTCAAAAACGACTATTGAAAATAAAGTGAAGCCAGGGAGCCTCCCCCTACCCCCCATGGGCTCCTAGCGAACAGAAAAGGGGAGAACGTAAACATGGTTCGGGAACATGCAGAAACTGGGCCGATGACTCAGTTGCTGTGCAAGAATGGGGAACTATGTTCAGGACCCAGAACCCACCTTTGGAATGCGAGACATGCTTGCATTTGCCTACAGTTCCTGGCCTGGGGAGGAAGGGAGATCAGATCCCCAGGGCTTGCAAGCCAGCAGTCTAACCTCTTTGGTGAGTTGCAGGCCAATGTGAAACACTGTCTTGAAAAACAAGGTGGGTGCCTTTCAAAGGACAATATCCAAGCTTGTCCATTGTCCTTAAATTCCCCCCCCACACACACACACTGAGCATGAAGTTTTGCAGACAGACCAAAGAAGAAACCACCATGCTCAGATGGGTGCTCAGTCCTGAACACATTACGTATGACATAGATCCTGGGGAAGGGTGCCTTTGATGAGATACAGGGCCCTTTGCCTCTGCCCATCTGGTAAGCTGAACCTGTAAGTTGGAGCTGTCCTGGTCCGAGAGAAAACCTGAGGACAGCCTGTTCCAGTAGTGATTTAGTCTGGTTAGGGGCAGGGGCATAGCAATGTGACAAGGACTCTCCCCTTTAGTAGATGACCACGGTGGCATTCCTGCACCGGGCTTGCAGGGCATTGCCGCAGGCTAACCCATCAGATGTTTTCTGCCCAGATTCAAAGGCTTTGGCAAGATCAAATCCTAAAACAGGGCAGCTCTGGTGCCAGGCACAGAAGATACCTTATTTCCAACCCCACCAGGAAGCCTTGCAAGCACAGGCTATAAGAACCATTCTATAAGAGAGAAAACTGAGGGACTGGTGGGGGTGGGGCGCACTCCAGAGCCAGACAAACTTCTCACTCTGTTCCTGGCCAGCTGAAGCCCCTTCTAGAGTCCTGCCCCCTGTGTTCACCTCTGTTCCCCAGGCCAGCGGCAGAAGCACTGAGGGTCTAGAGGGCCACCACAGTGGTCTCTGTGGCCCCAGAGCAATCAAGAGACAACCACCCATGCTTGACTGTGCCTATGGAAAAACCGAAGCCCCATGAAGGCAGACAAGTCTGGGATAGGTTTGAAGTGGGGGGCGGGTGTCCCTGTGACAAACTGCCACGGTAGCCATAGCACTCTGGCTCAAGGACCGACAGCATCTCTTCTAGCTAGAGAGGCTGACTGTTTATTCAAACTTCATTCTCGCCAGAATGGTTGAAGAAACCCCCCATTAGCCAGGGAGCCCTCTCTTACAAGGAAGGTTTTACTATGTGGGCAACGTGGGTGTATCTTGATGTTCCCGGGGTAATCGGCGAGTGTGAACCACCCCGAAATCAAGTCCCCCAAGTCTTAAGGAGTGAGGCTTTGTCAGCCTGACTGGCTAGGCTTCACCAGGCTCTTTCCCCTGAAAACCTGGCAGAAATGTGACACTGAGGGTTTGCTGTGGATTGCCAATGAGATCGATGAGGCCCAGCTGTCATCTGGCACTCAGGAAGGGTTCTGTTTGCTATTTCCTTTCTCTCCCTGGTAGCCAGGGTTCCCCAAAGCCCTAGGAGAGCACATGAACAGAACAAGCCCAGCTACGTGTTTGCTGGAGGCAGTGTCCAGACTCAGTGTTTCAGATACTATGTCCTCTGAAGGCATACTTGAGAGCTCTGAGCTAATATGGAGGAAAAAGGAAAGGATACAGCTAGTGATAGCATGTGATGACCCAGTGAAAAGTGGTTACCGTACTTCTGTTGGAGAAAAGATTAAGATTTCGTCTTTAAGCACGCTAACATAATTCCCTACCCACCATACGTCCTCGTAGTCTGAGAACCAGGAGATCAATCCACCCCCATCCCCGAGAGTGCAGTCCCGCGGGCGGACACGCGGGGGCACAGCCTACGGCTGCTCCCTGGTTCAGGGGTTGACATTGTAAAATTGGGGAATTTTCCACACTTGCTTCCCTGGTTCTCTACCGGCTGCCTGCCCATTGTTTCTGAAGGAGTGGAGGGGGCAGCCGCGTTGTCTTTAGAGCCTCCCCTGGGGCTGCAGGCGGGAGCCGAGAGAGGTTTTGCTTTAGGACAAACTTTTAAAGGTGACTTGGTGTAGCGATGTATCTCAGGCCCTCCAGTAGTCAATGGACTGTGCCTAGAGCTAGTACTGTAGGAACCAGGTGCACCAAGCTGAGCCCTCCAGTCTCCGTACACCCATCTGCTCCATTTACCCTCAGTCGTCGCCTGGTCTCCTGAATGCTACATTTTTGGTCCCAGCATCCTCCACCAAACAGCCTCCTCTCCGGTTCCCTGCCCTCCCATGGCAGAATTGTCTGTGGCCAGGTGGGCCTCTGCTCCACCACTACTTTGCAGTATCCTTCTAAACCCTCCCGCAAAACCTGCCTGCTCAAACCAAGGAGAACATACATGATCTAGTTGTCCCCTAGAAAATATTCTGCTTCCGGTGGATTGAAGGACTCAGACTTGAAGGGACCACCACAGCCCCTGGGATGCCTACTGCCCTTCCCCCCTTCGCCCCTGGAGTCTGCTGCATGCTGTTGCCCCTCTGGAGAAGCTCCCAGACCCCAAACACTCCACTCCCCTGCCTGGAGACTGTCTGTGTAAGGCAGGCTTCGGTCCTTGGCATCACGGGCTGTGCATCCAGCAGTGGGAACTTAATTTCAAGCCCTTCTTTCTCTTGACGTTTCTGAGCCTCTCTACTCTCAGAGCACGCCTGAGACTAGCTGGTGGCCCCACAGTGGCAGGCTGGGCAAGGCAGATTCCCACAGCTTGATGAGATGCGGGCATACAAACTGTCCAAAGGGTTTGTCTGCTTGTGCCTGTGTGCATACCCTTGCACAAATGTGTGAGTGTTGTGCATGTGTGTGTAAGTAAGCATGCACATGTGTTTGGATGTGTGTGAAGGTCCGAGGTTGACAACTTGTGTCTTCCTCGGTGTCTTTCTGTACCTGGAGTTTTGCTAATCAGCTAATCCCTGCTCTGGGGATCCCCAGTCTCTGCCTCCAAGGATGGGGATCCGAACTCTGGCCCTGGTACTTACACAGCAAGTGCTTTATCTGCTGACCTGACCCCCCCAGGCCCCTGACTGGTCCTTTCTGCTTGGAACATCTGCCAGGACCTGCCTTGAGAAATTTCATAGTAAAATGGAGTGTGGGGGAGGTCTCCTTCCAGATTCCTGCCATGGCTCTTCTTTCCCGGAAGGGCTCCTGATCCAGTGGGGTAGGGAGACCCACTGGAGAGCATCACAGATAATGTGGGAAGATGCATGGGCTTTCTATGCCCCTGGGGAGGGCCCATGACTCTGGGGATGGTTGAGTCCTACAGGCTGAGACCAGCCACCTGGACCAGAAGGCCTTGTTGTTTGTTGGTGCCTCGCCTTCCTAGAGCCACCCTGGGTTGGCAGAGAAGGCCTCTGTCCTGGCCCGGTGCCCAACAGAACCCGGTGAGGATGAGAGCTAGCCGTCAGCATCCTGAATCAGCCTCCAATCACGTGGGGCTACTTGCAGGACATCTCCTTTGTTTCTTGCGTGGGGGTGACGCCTCTTTTGCCTGTGATACCCTGTGCCTCTCTTGTGGTGGGAGCCACCCTTGCCAGAAGATAGCCGAGCCCCTCCCTTATCTGACCGGCTCTTCTTAACCGCTCACCTCCACTGGCATTAATGCTTTCCTGATAGGTTAATGTCAGCTGGGACCGAACTCCGTGGGAGTTGCTTTCTTAGGACAGTACTCTGGGTGCCTTAATTAAGGAGGAGCCAATGTTTCAGAGAGGGTCTTTGCCAGCAAGGTCCAGCTGTGGGAAGGGGTGCATTTACACTTAGGTGTATATGTGTGTGTGCATGCACAAGAGAGAGCCAGAAGTCAGGGTCCCTATTGTTCCTCAAAAGACATCCATTGTGTTTTAGGAGATGGGGTCTTTTACTGGGACCTGGGTCTTGCTCATGGGGCTGGGCTGGGTGGCCAGAGAGGATCCCCTTAGCTTCAGTCCCGTGTAGGTTTGTAAACAGATGCCACCATGCCTGGCCTTTTGTGGGGATGCTCGAAATTGAAGTTAGGCCCTCATACTTGGGTGGCAAGTGTTTTTACCAACTGAGCTATCTCTCTAGCACTCCAAATAGCAATGTTCTTGCTATCCATTTCTGTCCCTTGCCCACATAAACCATCCTCCCCCAAAGGAGGGGATTTCAGGTGAAGTGAGCAGGCCAGGTCCAGGGGCACACAGGATTCTGGGGTGATGGGGGAAGGCCGGCAACCCACTCTGTGTCTAAGAGAAGAATATCAGGCTTGTAGGATGGGTGCCCATAACCCCACAGCACCCAGGAAGCAGGGCACTGCCCACCCGGCTGAAGGCCTGTACTCTTCACAGATTCCTGTGGCACTGGCAGCCCCAGCAGGGGCCACCAGGAGGAGGTCAGCTCCTGAAGGAGTGGCAGGTCACAGCAGTTGGGGATGGGTACTCAGACCAGTCAGGTCTGAAGGTAGTCATTCCGCTCTGAGCCCTGTGTGTCTTGTGACAATAGCTGGCCCTCTGGCCCTCACACTGGCAGTGGTTCTCAACGTTCCTAATGTGTTGTGGTGGAACCCCCCCACCCCGTGACCCAACCACAAGATTATTTCCTTGCTACTTCATAACTGTAATTCTGCTGCTGTTTGAGTCACAATGTAAATATCTCTTATGCAAGATATCTGACATATGGCCCCTAAGGGGGTCGAGACCCACAGGTTGAGAACCCCTGCTTCACAGGTAGCGCTGTCAGCGTCACACTGGGCAGCGTTGTGGGCAGGGTCCCCTTTATCTCTTCTTTACGAATGGATGTGAGAGCTGTGGAGTTCAGTTCCTCGGAAGGGCTACGAGCTTCAGGCTAAGTTGAGTGGAGCTCAAGGACCTATAGACACAAAGGCCTTCTGCTAGGTGCCCCCCCCCACGGGAGTGACCGAGTCTTTGCATATTTCTCCCACCTCCCTAACTAGATTAGAGAGTCCAAGAATAGACTGGGACTTACTGCCTGCCTAGCATGCGCAGATCCAAGTGCTGTGATAGAACACCCCGTCCGAAAGCAACTTGGGGGGCTTTACTTTTGCTTACAGTTCCATCACTGGGGAAAGTCTCCAAGACTAAGCTCATGGTTCCGTGCTTGGGAGACAAGGGTCCAGCAGGTACTCTAGGCCATCTTGCAGTCTTTGGTACAGAGATAGGACCCAGAGGCTACTGTGCCTCAAATGGGGATACAGAACTCAGAGACCCAGGCTAAGACAGGATGGTTGCTGGACACAGGAGCCAAGTTATCTCCGTGACAGTCAAATCTGGGGCTGTGCCTGGAGTCTCAGACCGGCTGCCTGTACCCCTACACACCTCTGCAGGCCCATAGCCTCACTGTGCTGGAAGTGGTCTCACACCCCAGGGATGTATATGCTTCCCCTTAGCCGCACGCCTCTGTCAGGTTGGGGGTCCTGTAAGACACCCTAAATTTAGACATTTCAAAGACTGTAAATGCCCTTGAATGTGCAAATGGACACCAGACTGTCCAGAGAGGAGGGTGGTTGTCTGGGCACTGTCCCAGATACAGCGTAAGCTCTCTGTGAGAGGAATGTGACATCTGCGGTTTTTCTTCAAATGTCCCCAAGGCCTGGGGCTATGGGAACCCTGATGGGCTTCTAGCTGGGGAACGACTGGGAAGGAGCAAGTCTATTATGATGCCACCTGTTCGATGTCTGTGTTCCGTTGAACTTTTCATAAACAAAAGCTAAGACGCAAAAAGAAAGCCTCGGCAATTACGGGGATCAGCCGGCTCCCTGGGTGGGATCACGGCAGGTTTCCCCTCCTTGATTGGCTCTCAGGCAGGTGGGAGCAGGCAGAGACAGACACAGCCCTGGTCCAGCTCGGGTCTAGACAAGGTGGTGCAGACTCTTTTCCTCTTGTTGGTCTTTGCCTTGCCAAGTGCTGCTTGGATCATGGAAATGGCAGCAGAGGCAGGCAAAGGAGCCTGATGGGAGGTCGAGGAGAGAGAGAAGCTCATCTGACCTGGGGCCTGGGGGAAAGGAGGAAAGTGGGTCAGGTGTGCCTCCTCTCTGGGCATGACTCGATGGGTGTGTCTTCCCACGTGTGACTCTCAAGGGGAGCTGCCGAGGACGGACCTTCTGGTGTGTTCCTTTCCAGACAGGCCAGCGATGCTGTTGGGAATCCCAGGTGAGCCCTGTGTCTCCTTCCTGGAAGAGTTGGGATAGCAGGCTAGACTGAGGGATTTCCTTTTCCAACCCTGTCCACACATGTCACTGGGTGACACGTGTGCGTGCATGCGTGTACACACACACACACACACACACACACACACACACACACACACACACCTCCTGCACACACTCACAGTGGCCTAGCCTGCACAGGAGGTAAATCATTCCGGTCCGTTCAGCACGAAGTGTGCTTAGAGCTCGTTTTAAGAACCACGATAAGCAGGAGGTTCTCCACCCCACACTTCCCGCTAGCGGCTGGAAGCTGCTGTCTCAGAAATCCAAAAGATGGAAAATTGCAGGCAGTCATGGAGAGGAAGCCCACTATCAGAAGAAGGGGCAGTCTCAAACCTCAGAACATTTGTTAGATAAAGCTTTGCATCCTGAACCAATAGGATGGGGAGTTAAGGAGTGGGTGGGTGCTAGATGAGCTCAGATTGTTAACTCTGGGGCAAAGTGCGCAGGGGTGTCTCACCATCAGGGGCTTTCAAAGTCATTTTTGCCTCTCTCTAGGACTGGTGTCCTTTTTTTTGTCTTTCAGAATTGAATTAAAAACTGTCTCCCTTTTGCTAGTCTCCTGACTCCGCTGTTGGAGAGTGGGGCTTTTGTCTCTTACACTGGGAAGCCCTTTCAGCTCAACGGTCCTCCACCTCCTGGAGGACTAGCTGATTGGCTGGGCCCTCAGTCACCAGCAGCAGCCCATGGAGGGACCAGAAGAACCAGATAAACCACATATGGACAAAAGCAGTGCAGGAAAAGACTTCAGAAATGAGGTTCTTACAGAGCTACAGCCCACCATGCAGGCTGGGACTTCCCCGCTCGGCCTGGTGGGGACTGGCTGCTGAAACAAAATACTTACTAGCACCCACTGTTTCTTAATGTGATAGAAAACATGCCAGGGACACAAAAAGGCACCCATCACTTTCCCCAAACTGGGCAAATTGCAGCTTGAGCAGGAAAAGAAAATCAGCTGATGCCAACACACAGTTAAGTCAGGTGCTGGAATTATCTGGAAGGATTTTCAAGTAGCCATCTTAAAAATGCCTCAACAAGCAATTAGAAATTCTCTTGAAACACATTTTAAAAATAGAAAGTCGTAGGCAAGAAATAGAAGCTACAAGGGTTGGGAAGATTACTGAGTGGATGAGTCTCTTGCTCTGCAAGCAGGAGGGCTGGACGCCCATCTCCAGGATGTGTGTGATGCATCTGTAATCCCAGCAAGCCTGTGGGGGGGGATGGTGGGTGGAGACAGGAGTCTCTGGAAGCTGTGGGCACCTCTGCCGAGTGGATACATGCAGTGCTGAAGAACGAGAGACCTGTCTCTAGCACGGAAGAAAGCAAAGGCCTACACCTGAGGTGGCCCTCTGACCTCCACACATGTATTGGGCACGTGTGCTCCCCCACCACAGGATTGCACACACGGCACACAAACTCACACACAGACTCACACTTGAGCACACACACAGCACATATACATATGAAATAAACTAAAGAAATAGAAGTGCATAAACTGTACCGGAACCCAGCTTAGCTGTTTCCTGTGGACCCCCTCAGCCTTCCCTTCTAGCTCAGCACCGTTCCCTTGTGCCTGCTGCCAGTGGGAAATAACACAGAGGCCCACGGCTGGACAATGTGCAGAGAGGGGAGAGACCTTGGAACACTCAGTCCTAAGCGGGATGCCTTCACTAACCCTTTCCTCAGAGCCCCGGGGAGCTATGCAGAGGCAGAAAGACTGTGAGAGCCAGAGGTGCCGGATGACTCCGGGGAAACAGCGTCCTCCAGACATAACAGGACTGACGCACATATGAACTCACAGAGACTGTGGCAGCACACATCGGTCTACACAGGTTCAAGGCCGATGGGGCCCCAGCACTGAGAGGGGGAAATGGACATGGCCTCCCGCCCTTAACCAAGAAGCTATCTGCAATTGACACCAGCTGACAAAGGAAACGTTGGTTTTCGCCAATGGAGTTTCACTGGGCCTACCACACTTCAGGGTAGCCCTCATGCCTAGCAGGAGGTGAGATGCTCAATACAATGCGAACCCCGCGGTGTTTCTATATGTACTTTGTCTCAGTTTTTCTTTGTCTAGGCATTTTTTTTGTCTTGGTCTTTTGCTTGTATATTTTGTTTTGTTTTTCATTTTTGTGTTGTTCTGAGTTTTTTTGGGGGGGTTGTTTGTTTTTGTTTTTGTTTTTTTGAGACAGGGTTGCTCTGTGTGGAACTCAGAGATCCTCCTGCCTTTGCCTCCCGAATGCTGAAATTAAAAGCCTGCACTATCTCCATCTAGAGGGTTGTTTGTTTTCAAAGAGAGAAAGGGTGTGGAGTTGGATGGGTGGGATCTGAGAAGAGCTGGGAGAAGGGAATAGTGGTCAGAATATATTGTATTCTAGTTTTTAATTAAAAATAAATAAAATTAGGCTGGGGGTTGGTGGCGCACGCCTTTAATCCCAGCACTCGGGAGGCAGAGGCAGGCGGATCTTTGTGAGTTCGAGACCAGCCTGGTCTACAAGAGCTAGTTACAGGACAGGCTCCAAAGCCACAGAGAAACCCTGTCTCGAAAAACCATAAATAAATAAATAAATAAATAAATAAATAAATAAATAAAATTAGGTCTGGAGAGATGGTTCAGTGGTTAAGAGCGCTGGCTGTTCTTCCAGAAGACCCAGATTCAATTCCCATTACCCACATGGCAGCTCAACTGTCTGTAATTCCAGTTGCAGGGGAATCTGACTCCCTGACACAGGCACACATGCAGGCAAGATACCAGTGTACATACAATGAAAGTAAATCTTTAAAAAAATAAGTAAATTAAAAAAGAACATATACCTGAAAACAAGCTGACAGGAGGTAGAATCAGTGAGATGACAGAATCATCCTCAGAGTAACAGAAGTGGATGTTAGAAAACAAGCAGAGCCTCAGAGATGGAGAGAAAGTCACAAACACCCAATATTTGCATCACTGAAGTCCAACTAGAGAACAAAAGTGGGCCTAGAAGAGGATTTAGAGAAATGATGGGTGGGAGCATCTCATCCTTCAACAAAGTGGATGGTTAGACAAACTAGTATGTCTATACACTGGAGTGCTATACATAGCTGAAAAGGAACACAATATTGGTACTGGCCAGGGGCTGGTGCCTCATGCCTTTAATCTCATCGCTCAGGCAGCAGAGGTGGGTGGATCGCAGAGTTCAAGGCCAACCTGGACTACAGAGCAAGTTTCCAGACAGCCAAGGCTACACAAAACAAACACCACCTCTCCCATAAGTAACAGCTTGGAGCAATCTCAATGGAATTAAACGGAGTGAGGAGTGCCATTGCTAATGTTACACACTTCTTGATTCCATGTATGTCACGTTATGTCAAGTTTTATTTACTTATTTTGTGTGTGTGTGTGTGTGTGTGTGTGTGTGTGCCTGTGTGTGTGCTTTACGTACATGCTCATCTGTGCACCATGAGTGTGCCTGGTGCCTCCAGAGGCCCTAAGTAGGGTGTTGGATCCCTTGGAACTAGAGTTATTGTGAGCTACCGTGTGGGTACTGAGAATCAAACCCCAGTTTTCTGGGAGAGTAGCCAGTGCTCTTAACTGCTGAGCCATCTATCTAGCTTCTATATCATTTTTCTTCTTCCTTCTCCCTCCATCTCTCCCTCTCCCTCCCTCCCTCCCTTGCTTGGCTATATTGAGGGTCCTACTTCTTTTTAAAGCCAGGGTCTCTCACTGTCTCAGAACCCCCCAAATTCGTTCAGCTGGTTGGTGAGCCCCAGGGATTCCTCCTGTCGCTGCCTGTTCTCCTCAGATTACAGTGCTTGTCGCCACATGCAGCTTAACTGTGGGTTTGGGGCATTAAACTCTGGTTTTACATTAACCAACTGAGCTGTCTCCCCAGTCGACTTTATATGTTTTCTTAAAAAAAAATTAGTCTGCTATGGTTTCCACAGTGGAAACTTCCTACACTGGTAGTGTTGGGAGGTGAGCCCCAGGAGAGATAATGAGGGCTTGAGGGCAGAGCTCTCAGGAAGAGATGGGTGATCTGAAGGGAGTGGGCAGCTATGTCCATGGGTCTGGCCCTAGTGATTTCTCTTTCTGTGAATGATTTCCCCTCTTCTGCTCTCAAGCCACGGTGGAAGCTGAGATCCCACTGCCAATGGTAGTGCCATGTGAGTGAACTTCCAGCCTTCAGGACCAAGAGCTACATAAACCTCCCACCTTTACACACTTCGTAGGAATACAGCTGCAGCTCAGCTGGTGAATTGCTGATCTAGCGTGGCAAAGCCCTGGGTCTCATCTCTTATAGCACTCATAGCCTGGACAGGTGGCGGTTTCTTTTAATTAGAGCACTTGGGGGTGGGGGTAGAGGCAGGAGCATCAGAATCCAAAGTCATCCTGAGCTACGTAACAAATGGTAGAGGCACAAATGGTGACACAGTGTCTCAAACACACACACACACACACACACACACACACACACACACACACACACAATGTGGTGTTCTGTTGTAGCAGAAGAAAATACTAAAACAGAAATGATTCTGTCAGAACGGGCATTGGTGGGGCACGCCTTTAATCCCAGCACTCGGGAGGCAGAGGAAGGCGGATCTCTGTGAGTTAGAGGCCAGCCTGGTCTACAAAGGAGTTCCAGGACAGCCTCCAAAACAATACAGAGAAACCCTGTCTCGAAAAACAAACAAACAAACAAACAAAAAAACAAAAAAAAACAAAAAATAAATAAAAAAGAAAGAAATGATTCTGGAATGAAATTTAAATACAGAAAAGTAGGAAACTTTTGCAAAGAAAAAAGACACTCACTTCTAGTTCCATTATCTAGAATTGACCGTAATGAGATTTTATTTCTTTCAGAGAGTTTTTGTTTGCACATATAAAATCAGAAGTTGAAAGCATGCTGTTCCTGTGCTGTGGAACCATGAAGATTTCATTTCATATTTTATCTCAAGGAAATTTGCAAATTATCCAGGAATGCTTGAGAATGTGTTTGCCTACCTTAGTGTGTGCAGTTTTGGATATATCATAATTTACTTCATAGTTTCCTTATTGTTGAACTTATTGCTTTTTAAAATTAAAAAAATTATTGCATTGTATTGTGTGTGTGTATGTGCATGTACACAAGTGCTGTGTGCACACACCAGGAATGTGAGTGGAGGCTGAAGTACTCAGGTCACCAGGCTTGGCTCGCAGCTCTGCCTGCCCAGCCAGTTCTATGGCTGGAACTTGATTTACTTTCTTCATTTTTGTTGTTCATTTCCCCTAGTTGACATTGCAATGGACATTTCTTTCTTTTTATTCTGTGTAAATGGGAGTTTTGCCTGCATGTATGTCAGAACACCATGTGCAGGGCTGTTGGGTCAGATCTGGAGATGCAGGTGATTGGGAGTCACTTTGTGGATGCTGGGAATTAAAGTCAGGTCCTCTAGAAGAGCATCAAGTGCTCTTTAACCCCTGAGCTATCTCTCTGGGCTTCAAACGAACGTTTGTATCCACAAGTTGTCAGCATTTCAGACTCCTTTGTTTGCATAGTTGAGTAAACAAGCATTTGCTGTAGCAAATGGAGGAAGTGTTTAAGAATCATAGTTCATGCGGCCGTGCTCCTTTTGGGGATTAGTATACTAGTTTTGCATTCTGTAAATGCTGTATCCCTTTTGTTGTTTCTGCATATCATCATCAGCCCTTGAAACACTTTTGAGGGGCTCAGTCGTTAGGGGTGACGGTCTAGCCTACAGGAAGCCCTGAGTTTGACTCCCATAGCTCCATAAACATGGTGTGGTAGCACATGCCTGAAATCCCAGCACTCAAGACAAGAGGATCATGAGTTCTAAAGCCATTCTCAGCTACATAGTGAGTTCAAGGCTATCCTGAGCTAAAGGAGACCTTGGCTCAAAAATTAAAAAAAATTTGCAAAGAAAAATACGTCAAGACATCTGAGTTTCCTATTGTACCATTAGCTTCCACAGAACCATTGTCACAACAACTATAATCACTAAACTTGGTACCAAAAAGGGCTAGGGTCTGTTTTTCTTCTGCAACTTCCTCATTTATCCTTGGTTCATCTGTCTAGTGAAGTATGTATGTCTATATTTCTAATCGTTTTCTTCATTTGTTTAAATTTTAGTTATTGTTGTAGTGTGTGTCTTAATTAGGGTTTCTATTGCTTTGATGAAACACATGACCAAAAGGAACTTGGGGAGGAAAGGGTGTATTTCACTGACTCCTTCCATATCAATGTTCATCTCTGAGGGAAGTCAGGACAGGAACTCAAACAGGGTAGAAACCTGGAGGCAGGAGCTGATGCAGAGGCTATGGAGGGGTGCTGCTTACTGACTTGCTACTCATGGCTTGCTTAGCTGCTTTCTTACAGAACTCAGAACCCAGGACCACCAGCCTAGGGATGGTACCACTCATAATGGGCTGGGCCCTCCCACATCAACCATTATAATTAAGAAAATGACTGGGTGGTGGTGGCATATCCCAGCACTAGGGAGGCAGAGGCAGGAGGATCTCTGTGAGTTTGAGGCCAGCCTGGTCTACAGAGCCAGAACAGGCTCCAAAGCTACACAGAGAAATCCTTTCTTGAAAATCAAAGAGAGAGAGAGAGAGAGAGAGAGAGAGAGAGAGAGAGAGAGAGAGAGAGAGAGAGAGAGAGAGTTCTTTGCCTATAGTCCAATCTTATAGAAGCATTTTCTCATTTGGGGTTCCCCTTCTCAGATGACTCTGGCTTGTGTCAAGTTGACCTAAAATTAGCTGGCACAATGTGTGTGTGCATGGTGTGTATATGTGGGCATGCCTGCCATGGGCATGCGTGTGGAAGTCAGAGGACAATTTGTGGAATCAATTCTCTTCTTCCACCTTTGTGTGGGTTCCAGGGACTGAACATTGGTCACAAGACTAGCAAGGCGAGTGCTGTCACCAGCTGAGCCATTTTTCCATCCCTTGAATTGTTTTTAAGAGATCAGCAGGGTTGGAAAGATGATTCAGCCATTAAAGGCTGGGCTCACAACCAAAAATATAAAAGATTAATGCTATTAACCCCTAAGTTGTTAAGATTTCACAAATAATTTCCATAGGTTTTATATGTTCAATTAATTTTGGGGGACCATGTATAAGTTCTTAGTCTCTATTTAGTCAAATTCATACATTTCCTTCATCTTTTGTTGTCTTACTGTTATAATTTGACTATCACACCTCATGACTATCCATTTCTTTTATATAATTATTTTAGATAAGTACATATGTGCTGGCGATCTAGTCCACGGTTAAACACATGCTAGCTAAGTGCTCTCTTAATGTGCTAAACCCTCATTCCTATTCTATCATTTTAATATTTAAAATTCAAATTTAGTTACAATGTGTTTTGCCACATGACAAAAATTATGAACCAATTCAAATTATGAATCAATTTCTCAATATCATTTATTAATTTCACCCTACTTGTGAGAGAAGGATATGTGTGTATATGTATGATGTATGTATGTTTATATATGGTGTGTGTATGTATGATGTGTGTATATGTGTTTATGGTGTGCTTGTATGTGTGTGTATGTGTGATGTATGTGTGTATGTGTATGGGCATGAACATGCATGTGCTATGGTGTGAATGTATGGAGGTCAGAGGATAAACTCAAATGTCTGTCTTTGTCCTTTACCTTATTTGCGACACCCTTGCTTGCCTCTGTCATACGCCACGTCTAGGGGCTTCTGGGAGATACTTTCTGGTACACCCAGCTTTACATAGGTTCTGGGGATTTAAATGCTGGTCTGCACATTTGCACGGTGAGTATTTTGCCATTAAGCCACCTCCTCAGTCACAAACCATATTTTAAAGAAACCTATCAGATACCTGGGGTGATAAAGACACTCTTGTTCATTTTGTGTTGAGACAGGGTCTCACTGTGTAGACCTGACTGACCTTGAACCCACAGCGATCTGCGTGCTTCTGCCTCCCAAATCCTGGGACTAAAGGTGTGGGCCACCATGATTGATGACAGCCAACATTATACTGCATTGTGTGGCCCCACGTGGCTATGGAGTACCTGGAGGAGACACCACAAGGTGAATTCATGTGATCTGCCAGCTTCAGATGACTGAAGCCAAATGTTGCTGATCTCCACATGGCTGTGGCTACATCAAAAGAAGGGATATCTCACTGGCACTGTATGCCATTAACTTCAGTCTCAACTATTATTTTACAGACGGAATCTGGTATCCAAAACCAGTAGTGAGGACTCAAAGACATAATTGACAATGACCTCAGCCAAGAGGGTAAGTAATCCACAGTAACAGAAGCAGGTCCAGATGTTGGACTTATCAGACCGATTTGAATACAGTTATGGAACATATGTTAGAGGATTCAATAGCAAATAGAGACAACACACATGAATACATTTCAGGTATTTTAGCAGAGATATGGAAACTAACAAACTAGAGCTACAATTTCCTCAGCACTGTGGTCAGGACAGTTAACATCAGGAAGCCTTGAGCTGAAACAAAGGGATTCCAGAGCTTGAAGTTATAAACCTTTCTTCTGTCTCTCTATGGCATCTTTTTTCCTTCCTTTTACAAATTTCTCACTCATTTCCTTGGTTCGTCTGTCTATTGACGTACGTATGACTATACTCATACTTGCTTTAGAAATATTAATGGTATGCATGGATGTGGCGGCACATCCTTGGGGACGGAGGCAGGAGGATTGAGAGTTTAAGGTAAACTGGATCCGAGGCCTCTGCTTCAGTTCCTGGGCTGACACCCCTACAGCATGGATTGAAAAACTGTAGGCTGAAATAAACCCTTTCCCGGACAAGTTGCTTTTGGTCGTGGCTCCATGGCACCAATAGAAAGCAAACAAAGGCAGTGGGTAATCTGTGTGGGCAGCAGGAGCATATGGGAACTTTCTGGGGATGATGGCAACATCCCAGATCTTCATTTGCATGTTTTCAGTGGTCAAAATTCATGGAGCAAAACAGAAAAGGCCCAAGCCCACCCTGCTTCAGGTCTGCTTGGCCCCTCTGTGGGCACTACTCCTTTTCATCCATCAGGCTTGGTGCCTGGAGCTGTGATCACTGTGACTATAGTTACTGCTGTGGTTTGCATTAAAAAAAATCGTGTGTGCATGTGTGTGTGTGTATGTGCATGTGTGTGTGTACCTGTGTGCATGTGTATGATATGTGTACGTGCATTCTTTTGTTTGTATTGAGGTGGACATGTGCCACAGTACAGGTGTGGAGGTCAGAGGACAGACTGGGGTGCTGTCCTCACCTTCTACCATGTCTAAGGTGGGGTCTTTTGTTCCTGGCTGTGTGTCAGGCTGGGTGGCTTGAAAGCTTCTGGAGCAGTGGTTCTCAACCTTCCTGACGCTGCAGCACCTTAATACAGTTCCTCATGTTGTGGTGACCCCCAACCATAAAATTATTTTCATTGCTACTTCCTAACTGTAATTTTGCTACTGTTATGAATGGTAATGCTCCCCATGTGGTGGTCGCGACACTGTTCTAGTGGTTTTTCCTGCCTCCGTTTCCTGTCTTGCCATGTACACTCTGGGGCTAGAGGTGAGTATGCTATTATACTCATCTGTAAGTGGTGACGTCACAGATCTGGGGATCAGGCATCATGGTCTCATGCTTGTCTGGAAGTGCTTTACCCACTGAACAGTTTCCCCGGCTCTGTGGTTTGAATCTTAATGTTCCCTCAAAGCCCATGTGTCAAAGGCCTTGTTTCAGGCCTGTGACCCTGATGGGAGCTGGTGAAACCTTCAAGAGGTGGGACCTTATGGGAAGAGCTTAGGCCCTTGGGGAGTCCCTTTGAAAGGGATATATGGGCATATCCCCTTCCTGTCTGCCTTTGTTTCCTGGCTGCAATGAGGTAAATGCACCTTTTCCAGGCACTTTCGACACGACACGTTGCTTTGCCACAGTCCAAACCCAAACATCCAACAACTACAGCACCACAACCAACCTTTCCTGGTTGTTCATTTCTGGGTGTGCATCAATGCCAGGAGTTCTTCTCAATCATTTCTCTACCTTAATGGTTTGAGGACAGGGTCTCTCACTGAACCCGGAGCTCATCATCTGGCTGGCAAAGGGCCCATGAGTCTTTCTGTCTGTACCTCCCAGGGTAGGGGCGACAGGTGTGCAGGGCTGTGCTAAGCTTCTCACAGGAGTGCTGGGGACCCGAACTCAAGCCCCCATGCTTGCTTGCGTGGCAAATACTTTACCACTGTAGCCATCTCCCCACCCAGTTGCTCCTGATTTTTAAGTGGATTTAACTCACAGTGACAGAAAGCCAACATAATTGCTCTCAGTTGTTGAAAGTAAATTCAGCTCATTACCAGTAGGAATAGCCCAAGAGAAAAATGGAAATAGTGGGCGTTCAGAACATTAGTGGATTTGAGCATGCAAATCTGGAAGTGGTAATATCGTTCCTAGCAGCTCTCTCTCTCTCTCTCTCTCTCTCTCTCTCTCTCTCTCTCTCTCTCTCTCTCTCTCTCTCTCTCTCTCTCTCTCTCTCTCCCCCTCTCTCCCTCTCTCTCTCACTCCCTCTTTCTCTCTTGCAATCCAGCAAGTGAAACTTTCTCCTTGAATGTCATTTCTCCCATCTTTCCTTTTAATGGAGTGTTCTGCCCACTGTAAAAAAAAATTAAACTGGCTAATGAGCCAGGGGCTCGACTCTCACTTCTAACCCACTCCCACTCCCCTTGCTCTCATACACCTGGAAACAACTTTAGGTCTTACCAAATTTCACCAAGGGCTATATGACATGAACCCAGGCTGTGGTTTTTGTTCCTACCTTCAGGGTCACTGGAGTCCAGCTTCCAGAACTTTCTCATCATCCCTAGAATCATCAAATCCCAGGACTTTTACCTTATTCATGCGGAACTTGTGGCACATCTGAAACCTTAATCAGCTTTTAAAAGGTGGAGACTTACTGCTTTTAAAATAAGGACAAATTTGCAAGCTGGGAGCTGACAGTGGACTTCTAACCGTAGATTTTGTCTTCAGCTCTCTGTTTTGTGCTCATTAGACAAATGTCACCTGTGGTTGGTATGTAATGGTGACTGTGAGCTCAATTGAACAGAATTGAACAGGGTGTATTCTTGGGCTGGTTGAGGTCGTCTCTTGCTGTTTTCTTTCAGTAATACCTTTTCTTTCTTCAGCCAGTTCCTTTAATGTATCTGTAATTACGAACACTCCCGCCGAAGTCCTGTTGCCATCCTGGAATCTTGTGGGAAGAAGTGACCTTGAGGGAAAGAAAAATGTATGTGAGGATTGAGTGGAAGGACAACTGGATCTCTGTCTCCTGTGCTGATTGTTGCAGATGTGGGAATCTTAACTTAAGGCCAGCCCAGCGGTGAGAAGCACCACCCATTCACTCCCTGACTGATTCAAGGGCTGGTTAAGGGCTCAGAGGACATACAGAGAGGACACTGTGGGAGATACGGATTCTGCACTGATGATGAGCCTGCTGGTGATGGTGGGGTTGGTACCACCGGTGATGGTGGTGGTAGGAAGCATTAGAGATGATGTTCGTAGAGGTGATGGTGGTGTCAGAGGTGATGATGGCGTGGTGGTGTTAGGTGGGGGTAGTGAAGGGGGGTGATGATGTGGATGGTGGCAGAGTGATATTGATACTGCTGGTGGTTGATGAGATGGGGGCAGTGAGGAAACACTGATGTGTTATGGTGATGGATGGAGATGATCACAGTATGATAGTGCTGACAAGAACCATGATGTTGGCAGAGATAATGACACTGATGGTGGTAGTTTGAAGACAGCATAGATAGATGTATTTATTATTTCTCCATTCCTTCCGGTAATCACATGAAATCTGGAGGAACTGTAGCTATGTCATAACCATGAAGTCATGAATGACAGCAGAGCATACTTACAGGGATAGATGACAGTGATTTACTAAGAGAAGTTAAATGTAGAGAGATTGGAGCCTGGACCCTACATGCCAGAGATGAACAGCTAGACCAAATGTAGGAAGAAACCTACCTTCTGACTTGTATGGGTTTTTTTGGGGGGTGGGAGTGGGGAAATAATCCCTACTTGTTTTAGCCACAGGTGGTCAGATGTCTTTTTTGTTACTTGATATTGACAGGTATGACCCACTTGGAAATGAGGAAATGCAGACCCACCAGATACATAGATATGATAGTTTGAATGTAATTGGCCATATAAACTCATAGGGGGTGGGACTATTAGGAGGTGTGGCATTGTTGTAGGAAGTGAGTCGCTATAGGGGTGGACTTTGAGGTTTCCTATGCTCAAGATACCACTCAGTTTCACAGTACTGTTGCCTTCTTATCAAGATGTAGCCAGGACCATGCTTGCCACTATGATGATAATGGACTGAATTTCTGGTCGGTAATCCACTACTTCAATGAAATGTTTTCCTTTATAAGAGTTGCTGTGGTCAAGGTGTCTCTTCATAGCAATAGAAATACAAACCAGGACAAAATAGGCATATATATATATGGTGTGTATGTGTGTTCAAGTGTTCTCAGATGCATATGTGCATGTAGACACCGGAAGCTCACCCTGGATACCACTCCTCAGGAGCCACTGACCTTATTTTTTTTAAGTATTTTTATTAATTATTTGAGATATGTGCCATGTATCCCCAGATTCTCCAGGGCTTTTTATCATGAAGGAATGATAGATTTTGTCAAAGGCCTTTTCTGCATGTAATGATTTTGGTCATTTTATTTCCATCCTTGAGTCTATTTGTGTGGTGGATTACATGTATTGATTTTCATATGTTGGATTACCCTACTTCTCTGTGAGGAAGCCAATTTGATCATTGTGGGTAACCTTTTTGATGTGATCTCGAATTCAGTTTCCACACATTTTTATTGGGAAAATTGGCTTCTATATTTGTCAAGGAGATTGGCCTGTAATTCTCATTTTTTGATGGGTCTTTGACTTTGATATCAGGGTAATATTTGCTTTGTAAAAATAATTTGGAAGACGTTCTTCTTTTTCTATTTTATGGAGTAATTTGAGAAGTATTGGTAGTAGTTTTTGAACATCTTGTAGAATTCTGTGCTGAATCCATCAGGCCCTGAACATTTTTTAGTTGAGAGATTTTTAATAGATATATATTTATTTCATCATGATTTAGCTTTGGCGGGTCATCTACATCTAGGAATTCATGTATTTCTTTTAAATTTTCTAGTTGGTGAGATATAGATTCTTTTGAAGTATGTCTTTTATAAGTCCCTTAATTTCCCCAGTGTCCATTGCAATGTTTCCATTTTCATATTT